TTTTAATATAAAATACAGTTTTGTTTCATCGACATTCTCACCACAAGAATTTGAAAGATGAAAGACCTTTACTTCCTTGAAATTAACTTCTGCCCCTTGAACTAGGGTCCACGAGTCAATGTGGTTTACTGGATTTTGTTTCGAGACTATATTATGCACTAACCGGGTTTTCTCTGGGATACCTAAGCAAGTCGAAACTCCAGTCCATTCTGGATAAGAATACTTTTTGGAAAGCAAAATTATATGATATTTAATGAAAACATAAGACACCTATATTTTGGTGGAAAATTCACCTACCCGTCTTTCATCCCCTCAAATAAAATAGATTAAATATAGCACTCATTTAGGGTGAATGAATTACTAACTGTCTCGAAACCTGCCCGCATAGAAAATAAACAACTAAAATCCTCGTAGATGACTATTCTCCAGTCATCCATCCTTCGTGAATTTTATCATAATATTTCCAAAATCCATTTTATTCTAATATGAAAACACATAAAAGTACAATAATCCAAATGGGTTCAATTATACGCAATACTTTTCTGCTATTATTTGTTCTGTAGCGGCTTTAATATACTAGTTTGTTCCTTATTTATTAATACAAATGCTGTGTCTAGCACATCCCCAAGGCCACAATTTGTAGATTTTCATTTCCTCTCAAAAATTAATACAACGTATAAACAATATAGTGAGTAAAAGTAAGCAAGTAAAATTAACTCTCATTCTAATGATTAGCTAAGTATGCTTAGAGAATAAATCGAAATATGAATCTGCCCTGACTCAAGAGCTTTCGTAAATGAACCCTTGATTCTCAAACAATGGAGGGATTGTGTGGTTAAAAGAACTCTATTTCTGCAGGCTGAACTTAATGCTTAACAGAAAGGTGGAATGCGTAGAATCACACTTTCTGTTGAAATTTATTTGGAGCTGCATGGTAGACCACCGCCCAAAGTGACTAAGATGTATCCAGTCGAAGCAAACAACACCTGGTTCAAAGATTAGCCTTTCTGAGTGGATCAGCTGAAATCCTCCAACGTCCATAAAGACATCAGCGTAGTTGACATGAAATCGATTGCTCTAATCTGCAGGAATAGCGAGATGTACTTTGAACAGGTAGAATCGTCAAGCTGAGTTATCAGCAGAATTTATTAGTATTCCTCAGCACATCTCTATATGGAGCTACGAGAGTTGCAACGGATCGATACAGAGTATTAAAATGCTTAACAAGTCTAAAAGTTCTTGCGAGATACAATTGGGGTCTTGATATAAGCCGTTTTAAGGGCTTAGGCTTCTCTAATAAGCAAATTTATCAGGCAAGATCCAATGTCAAAGTTATTAGGAATTGTCATAAGTATTAGTATGAGAATGCTTTTCTTAATTACTCTTACTTGGCCATAAATCACTATAAAAAGAATATACATAATTCTATACTTTATCATAATTACCAAATCTATCGATGAAACATCAACTGATTAAAATGAGGTATGCTTATTGAGTATCATAAGAAACCTTGTTCTTTATGCCTACATCTCACTATACTTGATATTTAGGGAGTATTTATTCAATACTTCATTGAAAAATTTCATTTTGCAGACAAATATAACGTTTAAAAATATCATATTACTGTATCTTCATTCTCAAATGCTGAAAAAAAGTAATTAATGACGAGCTCATGCTAATCTTGATTAAAATGGGAAACTTGCCTTAAGGCAATATTATCTTGTGAATCTTTGCTTTCTAGTACTCCAGAGTAATCCTTTATCCTATTGTCCAGATTAGAAAGACTTGTGCTAGGAAAAGTATGCGTGACCTTGGGTTTCGTGTGATAACTAGTCTGCCGAAGCCTGCTTTGTTTCGCAGATTTGGGGCCAAGGAATATTGCATGCCTAAGTGGCCTCTTAAGTTTAACTACGCGACGCAACTGTCCATCATTGGTAGGTTTCCATATTCCATGGTCCGTTCCATCACCTCCATTATCCAGTTCATCTTCTTCGCCACCCCTTTCCTTATCTTCATGAGTTGCTTCCTCCACGGCTCTTTTTTCAGCTTCTAAAATTTTCCTATCTAACATTTTGTATCCATCCTGTTCTGGCTTACCAAAATTTGAGTAAGTCAAGGTTTTGAGTGGTGTAGGCAAAAGAGTAATAGGAATAGTTCCTCTTTTTTTAACTATGGCCAGTGAGCTGGCATATTTTCGGTTCTGGTCTTTATCTGCATTCCAAGGACCTGGCTTCTGTGTTACTTGCACCACTGCATGCTGTGGAGCAAGTTTTGCCCTTATATTGTGATTTTCCGAAAGATTTAAGTCTACAAGAACTTTGCAATGGCTAGACTCCGTCGAGCTGGATCCCTCAAGGGTGTGTATCTCACCCTCTTCAACCTCATAGTAGTCTCCATCCTCTTCACCTTTCCTATTCAGGTTTTGATCCAATACTTTAGTTGCTGTTTTAATAACCCCATGACTAATAGCTTCGTCCTCCACTTCACCTTCGCTCGAATGAATTGTCGGAGATAGAGAAAGTTCCTCCTGTTTTACTGGATAAGAATATGTTCAAAAAAGAGTTATTAGTACATGGCTGGAGAAATTAAGCTGAAAAAGTAAACATTTTATAAACAAAAATTGCATGGCAATAGACAATAGTAATGCAAGCTAATTACTAGAAAATTTAGAATAAATTTAAATCTTGTGTAAATAAAAGTTCAAAAGGAGTAAAAAAAATTTCCATTACTAGTCTTTTCTGCAACTTACGAGTTTTGTTGCACAAATTTGGAAATTTTTGAGGCGGGCTGATAAGGTTTCAGAAGAATTTGACTATAAACCCTGGTTAGTGAGACTAACTTAATCAGTTCGTAAATATTTGTAGGATAATAATAGGGAATGTAGAATATTTTTCAGCTTAATTGGAAATAATTACTCTAATATTATTAAAAGTAATTATAATGGATTTAGTATAACTATAAAAACTAGAAGTATTTAGCCGAAGAATAATTTGCTAAGTTACACAACTATAATTGTGTTATATTCAAAACTTTTATCTATCCCATTTTGAAACCATAATTGCTTAATTATTTGTCTTCGGATTTTGATTTAGTTCACTTTTATAATA